ACACAAACTCACCTTTGATGAGCACTTTATGCTAAAGTGGAAATCAATAGGCGAGATGTTTTATTTTACAATGACGAGATCAAATAGATGGCAGCGTGAGTCGGACAGCTGTATCCGTCTTTAAGGCAGTGGTAGTGATTTAAGCTCATTCGGCACAGAAAAAGACGTTTACAATAAAAAATTCTCCAATTTGCTGTTAACCATATTCATAAAAATAGATAAAAGGACACAGAAAGTTACTTTATTTTTACTAGTTATTATCAATAAGGTACGGAAGCGTCCTGGTGCCAATTTAACATGTTCTATAAAAAAAACTCTACGTAGGAAATGAAAAAGCCTAATTACGAGTTTATAACACCTACGTAGGACTTTATAAGTCCTACGTAGGACTTTTAAACTCCTACGAAGGACTTTGTAACTCCTACGTAGAACTTTATAAGTCCTACGTAGGAAATAAAAAGCCTAATTACGAGTTTAAAACTCCTACGTAGGACTTCTAAACACCTACGTAGGACTTTTTAACTCCTACGTAGGACTTAGTAACTCCTACGTAGGACTTTATAACTCCTACGTAGGACTTTATAACTCCTACGTAGGACTTTTTAACTCCTACGTAGGACTTTGTAAGTCCTACGTAGGACTTTGTGACTCCTACGTAGGAGATAAAAAAAGCCTAATTAGGAATTTATAACTCCTACGTAGGACTTTATAACTCCTACGTAGAAGAACACTTATAAAGTCCTTCGTGGGAGTTATAAACTCCTACGTAGGACTTTTAAACTCCTACGTAGGACTTTAAAACTCCTAATTAAGTTTTTTTTTATTTCCTACGTAGGGGTTATAAAGTCCTACGTAGGACCTATAAAGTCCTACGTAGGAGTTATAAACTCCTAATAAGGCTTTTTTAACTCCAGAGTAGGAGTTATAAAGTCCTACGTAGGAGTTTGTAAGTCCTACGTAGGACTATAAAACTCCTACGTAGGAGTTAAAAAAGCCTAATTAGGAGTTTATAACTCCTTCGTAGGACTCATAAAGTCCTACGTAGGACTTACAAAGTCCTACGTAAGAGTTATAAACTCCTAATTAGGCTTTTTGTATCTCCTACGTAGGAGTTATAAAGTCCTACGTATGAGTTACAAAGCCCTACGTAGGAGTTATCTCTTTTTATAGAACATGTTAAATTGGCACCAGGACGCTTCCGTAATAAGGTGACATATTAAGTACGAGCTACCCGTCGTTGACACTTGCTTATTTTTGTATTGACAACATTAAGCAATCATCAAGTTTCAATATTCCTGCGTACTCACATTATTTTAGTGCATTGACCAAGGATTATTAATAAGTGTAGGCATATATGCCATATTTCATAAATTACTTGACGTTTTCGGCACTTTTTACTGCGGAAATAGTTGAAGCAATGGGCCTGGAAGTCACAAAGACGTATTGTTTGTCACTCTGTCAAGATATGTACTTGTTTGGAAGGAACTATAATGAGAACAAACTTTGGCCCTTCTGCAGGAAAGCGAAAATCTTTTTTTTTTCATACGACCTTCACGTTTGTTATTCGACCGTATTGCAGAAGTGACAACGGTTCACTCCGCTCCATAGCGATTGCCAGCACGTAAGTGTCAAATGTCTTACATAAGTGAAATTAAACTTATTTTAAGAAGAAGCTAAACATGAAGCCGAGAAAGTCATAGAATTGACATATTCTCTAGATTTTTTTTATTTCACAGCATGTAACTTGTTTACGCTAGTGACATTTATAATAAGAATCACTATAAATCTTAATTATATGAAATATTCCTTAAAAAGAAATATTTCAGAGAATGAGCTTGAATAAAAATCTCATTTTTGCTTTGGACATTTTAAAACCCGGCCACATGTAATTACCATTGTGTTTTATCTTTTGTATTTCTTTAATGGTCCTTCTTAAAGGCATATTATCTACCAAATATACATGAGGCGAATTACATTTTATGATAGCTTTAGTCATTTCTTTCATATATAATCTTAAGTATTTAATTAAATAAACATAGAATTCCAAACAAAACATATAATGACATTAACACTACATAAGGAAACTCCCACTATTAATTTTATATCACATCGATGAATAAAAGCACCAGGGCATTTGTTAATTTATTATTTTATACCATCATTTAACACTTGACTTCATAAAAATTAATATGTCAGGCATTGAACTGTTTTGTTTACCTTAAACAAAGAAGAGGGCCACGATTAGCTCTATGCAATTTGGAAAAATTGTCGATTGCTAAAAAACTGTATTCTTTTAAATTTTCAAGTTTTGTCTAATTTCAAACGAAATTGTGACTGTCTACAGCAATGTTGCCAGATAGCACTGATGCGGAAATTGTACCAAAACACCAACAAATTTAGCTCTCGAGAAGCAGAACTGAAAGCCTATTTCGATCTTAACGAGCTGCAGTCATAATAATAAAGAAACGTTTGCAAAAACGCCCTCTGGTTTAGCGAAATTCGATCGCGTATTAAATGACAAAAACATTCCATTACCGAAAAGTGAAATGGCCACATTTGTACTCGTGTGAGAAGGCGTTAATTTCAGGCGTTTGATTATAACATTATTATAACTGTTAATTTTTGAATGTTATTATGTTTTATTAGTACCTTCTACTAGTACAATCATAATTAATTTATATCGTTTATATATTCCATTGATAAATTGTGAGAAAATGTAATAAATAAAGATATTGTTACCAGTTGTTTCTCTATTTATCCTATTTAATGACTTTATTAGCCATCCCTATAAAATAAATGTTTGCAAATGTTAAACGTTTTTGTAGAAATCAAAACAATAGAGCAACTTTATGTTGTTCATACTTTCAAATGTCAATGACTTGTATTCTAATCAATTTTACATAAGATACAAAAATATACATATTAATGCATATAGATATTTTAATAGTTGTTTGAATGGTAGATCGTAACCGGTTATATTTTCGATCCTTGAAGATCGTTCAGCACGACATTATTGTTGTGCTTGTGGTATTTTTAGGTTCAACTTTTCGGCATTTTCTAATTGGGTGGTTCCAATATTCCTACTTGAATAATGTTGAATCACCCTTAGGATATGTTGCCTGCTTTTTAAATTTGTCTTTTGACGTCTTATCTGTGATATGCAGGCTTCATAACCTCTGATCCCCTTTCAAAATTCCATTTTATTTAGTTCCGCCCATTGTTTTCTCGTTTAGGGCACAGCCTTTTTATTACTTGGGGACCATACGCCGCTTTTCATGGAATGGCACGGAAGTGTCACATTGAAGGTTCCATGATAACCGCCGTATGAACACATCTGCGGATGTTTCTAAATTCAAAATTTTACTATTTCACGTTTAAATGTTGAATTCTGCTTAAGCCGGTGCTAGGGGGCGTGGACGGTAACTTGCACTTTCCAGTACCGTCCATGAACAGGCTCAATCAAACCGAGCCTGCAACATTTATAATTTTGCCGTGTTGGGCTTTCTTTAGGGATTCTGTATTTATCTATTTTATAACAATAGTTAGTAATGGTATATCATAGGCTTTTTGAGGAAAATAAAACAAACATGAAAAATATAATATTTGAATGATTTTCTGACACCTGCAGACGTAAATAGATACAGATATTTGAAGTAAACAATTTGGTGTGCTTAACCTTGAGTAAATATATTAATTTTTACATTGACTGTCAGACGACAATCATTTACCGAGCTGGAGCCGAAAGTGATTAGCATCGCATTTGTTACCAGTAAAGAGCCAGACCACCCTGTGCATCCGTCCGGTCTGACCAGACTCAACACTGCTGGGTGACCAACATAATAACTCCAAAACTGTTTATACAGTTCTAAAAATGGAAGCTTGTTAAGTCAGTTATAAATTTCAAAAGGATAATAATACTCTTAAGAGGTTGATAAGAAGTCGGGGATAGATTTAAATCCAAGTTGTCTTCGACCTCTGCGTGTGACCATTAACTTGGGTTAATGCGTGCAATTTTTTGCCTCACAATAATTCACTAAGTTTCCTCTGAGCCTATTTATTTAAAGGAAATTTGGCAAATATTGAAATAAAGACAAATGACAATTATTTTATACATTAAATAATATTGAATATTAAGGACAACTCTGAATAATATTTTGCATGCATGTATATTACAATACCATTTTATACATATTTCAGCCAGTTTTTGCCTGCAGACATAGACAAATGTATAAGCTATAATGAAAAGGAATTATTTTAATGATTTTGATATCTGGTTAATAGGTTTTCCTTGCTACAAAGGGTAAGTATAGCAATTACGAGTGACATCTTAACTGGCTAGAAAGTTGCCTATCTCTGTTACCTGTGTCTTTGTTTCGACTACTATACAGTCTTCTTCAGTACAAACAATATGTAATATAAAACAGAAATGCAATTAGGCGCTTTATTATAGATTGTAAATTTATATTTAATTGAAATACAATATAATTATGATCAGGAATAACAGATTTCCTATTTTGTTACTAAACTTTGCTGTGTTTGTTAAATGACCAAATATATAGTTTTCTGTCGTTCGCTACCAGTTACTCGTACTTAGTTTCCCTCTTAACCCCCATACATTCTAAATGCTTAAAACTTCTAGATGAAATTTAATATCGTCACGTCTCAGTGTGTTTCAACAAACATGGTATTGTATTACCATGAGAAAAAAAAAACAAGATTTTTTTTAAATATGCATGTATATTCCACAAACTGCTCATGTCAGTAATTGTAAGAGGAAGACAAACAATGTTTAAGGCAAGTATAGTGTGTATATTCTATAGGGAAACATGTGAACTTTACTGCTTAATCTTTCAAACATGTTTAAAAGAATAAGAAAGCATTCTTTAAAACCATTATTTACTATTCATCCAATTCTTTTGAGGCATATTGGTAGCATATAATACCAATATAAATTATCTATCTGAGACGCCTTTGCATTGAATACGTAAAAATATGTAATAAGTGAAGTAAAACATAATTTTTGTCTGTAATTTATTTTGATACAACCATGCAATGATTTCAGTACATCAGGACAGCTGCATATCAGGATGGGTGATTAAGACATTTGTTTACTGTAACTTAGGATGGGCGCTTATGAACGTGTCCATGATTTAAAATGTATTTCCCCAATGTTCGTTATATTTTCAACACTTAAACATCTAATAAACATTTACTATGTTCCTGGCGAATATTAGCCAATTCAGGTGGTATAAGTTTTCTATTGTCGTACTTGTATTATGCTTGGAGAAATTTGTAACAAAATGTAACCGCATATTTTCATCAAATACTGTCACATAAAAGAAGATTATCGTGCTATTTGTCATGTTGCTCATATAAAGTCCAGAACTTGTCAGTTTATTTCAGTTTTCACAAAGATTATGATCAATTGACTATTTTGTGATAATCAAATATTTTACTAACATACATCTGTAGTGATTATCGTTAATTCATTTTTGTAATTATGTCCAACAATCAACTGATGGGTTCTTTTGTCGAAGAATAGGGAGGACGGAAACTTTAATTTGTCAACCAATTCTCCTAGGCATTTCCCCTTTTCATTAAACATCATTACGTTGCCCGAGTAATATCCTGCAAGAAAAATAATGCCATTTTGTGAAATGCAAGCACTTATTATGTTTTTTAGTCGCTCGTTGTTCATAACTGCCCAAACATTTCCTTCCTTATCTAAGCATGCAACTTTACTATAATCTGATACATATATATATTCATCGCCAGTTGCAACTGGGACAATATAATTCGAGTTCGATTTGAACTCTGTTTTATCAAACACTTTATGACAGAAAGTTTTTACAACTGTTCCACTTCTGTTATATACTGTAACGTCTACATTATTATGGCACCATAGTTTGTTATCAAGGAAAACCAGGCCGATACAGTTGCCACATTCAATATCTATTGAATATTTTTTCTTGATTTGTTCATCAATAGAAACAAACAGTATAGTGTTATTTTTCAGTTTAACAGCTACATCTGCCTTGCCCGTCAAACAGATACCCAAAGGATTAGAATTTAAGTTGAATTCATCTTTGATTCCAAAGTCCTTGTTCAGCCTTTTCAGCTTTTTATTAGCGTGGTCTGCTATAAGAATTGTCCCATCGGACAGCTGACAAATACCATATATACTGCATATTTGTTTATCTCTGTCTCCTTTAATACCTACTTCTTTTTGTGACATTTTGCTAACCGATTTATCTTTGGCATTTATGCTACTTGTACTACCAACAATTTGTACCAGACAAGTTGCTGTCATTACATGTTGTATCAACTCATCGTTCTTAAAACATTTAATCTTCCTGTCCTCTTTCTCGACGTCATCATGTTTTTTCTCAGTTTGGGAAAGAATATGTTTTTGTAATATGTGTCTTGCAAATTCTTGCTTTGTATCCAACTCTTTTTGAGTTTCAATTTTAACTCTTAATTCATTGGTATTAGTAATAGCTTGATTAAGAACACTTTCTTCATCTTGAATATCCTTTTTTAAAGCATCGTATTTGAAAAATGTCTTTGCTTTTTCATCAGATGCTAATGCTTTGACTTTGTCGATAATCAAAAGTTCCGTGTTCTCGATGGTTTTTAGAGTTTCATTCTTTTCCTGATCAAGTGCAATGAGATTGGCTTCTTTATTCTGTCTTGATGACTGTATACTAGTCTGTACAGAGTCGATTTGTCGCACTAATTCTGTTTTGTTTACAGGAATACTTGTAGCTGCTTCCTCAAGCTCTTGTATTCCACTGCATTGTCTTAAATATCAACAACAAAATTAACAGTTATAAAAATGATTTACATATTGTACAGTTTAAAGAAACGACAAAAAATGAGCATTCATTGCATTAACTGCGAAACATTTACGCACATGGGAAATTAAACTTAAGCAGAAAAGCTCTATAGTAATTTCAATGATATTGTTGAAAACAGAAAAACAATTGTAATAAACTATGGTGAATGAAAAGAATAATGCTAACATGCCTCGTATTTTTGTCACTATACACAAAGAAGATTAAGAACATGTGTTAAACACTGGTAAGGGACTACATGTATGTGTGGCTTTTCCCTTTTTATACATATTCTCTCTCCAATAACAGAGATAAACAAAGCCTTTTAAGACAATACTAATAGCGCATTTTATTGACATTTTCCGTTATAATTATGTTTTCTGCTTACATGACGCTAAATTGACATGGGGGGGGGGGGTGAAGATATATTTATCGAGCATTTATGCAAACACAATACGCTCTTGTTTGACACGTAAATTTAAAATGTTGAAAAATTATTAAAATAATCTTTGAGAAATAAGGTGAAACATTTTTTTTCTCATTATTTCTTTTGTTTGTTTATTTTTGAACCTTAGCGGAACTGCTCAATACGCAAATTGGCAAAGGAAAATAGCATTTGTGGCCTCCCTTATTTTGTCATGATATTAGTCGGTTTGTTAAAAACCGGTTTGCAGAACATCGGATTGTCAGTCTGATGCAAAAAATTAATCAAACCATTTCCTACACAACAAAACTCCAAACCGGTGTTTAATAGCCGATAAACACCGAGACCGATATTATTTCGATTCAAACATGACAAAATAAGGAAGACAAAACAACAGCAACGGATTTGACGAGTGTTAAAAGTAAGTAACTATTGAAATTCTAGAATAATATTTAAACGATTTTCTCTGTTTTTTAACAACAATAAATACGCTGTATGAAATAAATAATAAGTACAAAATGATTTTTTTACAATAGGCAGGGACGTTGGAAGTTCTTGTAGATTTATTAAAAGGATTATGGGAACTGAGGCCGCGTCTACACTTAGTCAAGTGTCTTACATGTAACATTTAGATAAGCTAAATAAATGGCCCTTTCAACATTTTATCAGGCACAGTTTTTACTGAAATGTCTTATTAAGATTGCACAGGATTTATACATTTGTCTTTGCAATACTATCATGTTTCTGTAAAATGTGTGAATTAAAAAGCGGAAAATGATGCAATTAGCTAAAAACAATGGAGTAAATGAAATGCGTACATTGTTTTTAAATAAATGGAAAACGTGAGAGAGAAAAAATGAGCTTATAAATTGATGCAAATTCCTTTTTTAATGAAAGTTATTCACTAAATGAACAAGGTCATTTAAAATCCATTTTGATTCTACTTTTGAAAAACAGATCTTTTTTTTTTTTTTTTTGCTCATCTGTGTATCAGTGTATCGATTTGTTCCTTTGACCAAGACATTATGAACATTTACTGAAATTTACAGGTCGTGTACACTGAATCAACAACAAAAAAGTCAGAAAATAATCAAAGTAACAGCACTAGCACACCTCCGGGGACACATGATTTGTGTCAAACCGGTGTTATCAGTGTCTTGAAAGCCAAAAACTTTCAAAAAAATAGAACGTGTTCTAATTTTCTCGCAAGGTTTTATCTTCATGAATGTCACATGATTTCTCTTTAAAAATCATTCAAGTAGGGTGTCTACACTATTCAAGTCAAGAGAATGTGATACTTGCATACAAGACTTGAATTGGTGTAGACGCGGCCTAAGAAGAAAAAACAAAGTTAAGTGAAATTAATAAAGTAAGATAAATTTAGGGGAAAAAATGGTTTACTTTAATAAGGCATTTCGTTGTACTAAGAGGCTATAACTAATAATTTATAAGATGTTGCTGGTTTTAAGATACCTAAGCTGAGAACACAAGTGATTACTAACTTCTTTTTATGCCAGAATCATTGATAGAAAGTATCAGTAAGAGATCAGATTTAATTACCTATGGTTTTTAGCAACACATAGAGCACAGTACACCATGTCATGATCACCACAGTACATCTCGATATCCCTGTCAAGATGATAGAGACATTTGAACATTTGGTCCTCATCTGATGTGGTGTGGACAGAACCTTTCTCACAACGTTGAAAATCGTTGTCTTGTAGATTGTGTTTTTTCGTTGCAGACACTTTTCTGTGATGAATCACACATGCTTCACAAAGAAATTCTTTACATTCTGGGCAGTATTTCAGGGATTCTTGAATATTGTCGTCTTCAGCACATGGGGTGCACGTGTACTCAAATACTATATCAGAGCCTAGTACTGGACTACTGTATTCACCTCCTTCTGCCATCTGATGAGATATGAATAGAACTCATTATGTGAAAAATACAAGGAAGCCCAGATTTTAATTGAAGACAATACTTTTAAATCGTTTTCTTCTTATGTGGTTGAGACATAAATCTTTTTTTTTTACTTTCATTCTTTTAAACGACAAGCAAAGTAAAAAAAGTTCATGTAAAACTTATGTCGAATATCATAAATGAAGAAAGGATATTAATAAAAAAAATTATCTGCACAATTTCATATTTATAGATATTGCATCATTAACATGTATTATTCCTAATTTTAAAAGATATATCGTTCTTAAGCATTTTCCGTTATTAATAGATACCAGCATATTTATCATGCATCCATTCTAAAATCTTAGCCGTAACCTATAAATGTATCTCTGTGCCCAAAAATGTAATTTCAACTGAAGACTACAACATGCTGATGAAACCTAAAATCCGTGTACATATTTCATGGGTTAACATAAAAATATGTCACATTATTCGGTTACAACTTTCTTCTTTTCTTACAAATTTCAGAGTCTAAATTTGTTGTATTTTTATCTATATATTTTTTATTATTGTTGCTGCTACTATAATTTTAACCTCATGTACAGTACATTCTAACAAATAATTAGTTTCTTGATAATAAAAATTAAACTGCCGACGTCATCGTGTAACATACTGTATATATCATAATAACTAAGTTAAACTTGCTTAACCTGGTTACTGGTGTATTGTTTAATACTGTTATTTCTCAATATCTTACTTAATATATTGCTTAAGCTAACTGCTAACTTTTCTAAAGAAAAATACATCAGAAACACTTACTTTAGTAATTTTAGTTCCTCTAGTTTCGATTTCGTTTACCTACAAATTTTTAACTTGGTGAATGTGTAACGCCGATTTACATTTCTATGCGTAAACAAGATAACCGTACAGTATATTTTTTACATTTTATTGCATTTTTAGAACAGTTAATCTACCAAGTACACATATATGAAAAGAAACTGATATGTGGTAAATATATTTTATTTCAATGTAAGTTTATATGTAGTTTATAAAAAACCCATAAAATTGAATACTTTGGTAAAATCAAAATGTATTTCCGTTATTTTGAAATATTTTAGTAGCATCAGAATATGCATTAACTTTTTTGCGTGAATGTTATGTCGCATCAACACTGTAATGCTGAAATTTTCTAACTTTCTTGGTGAATGAAGACTTCCCGCTCGTGCTTAGCTTTAGTTTTACAACTGATGTTTCGTAGACTAGCTGAATAGGTACATATAGAGAAACACTTTAATTTATAGATGAAATGTATGAGCCATCATTCGTTGAACATGTATAGTAACTAAAAATAGAAACAAAAGTATAATTAGTACACAATAATAAACATTTGTTAATAAAAACACTATACTTAGACCCTCGCATCTATGTAAATTATTGTAAAGAAACAGGAACTTCGTTTAAACAATTTGTGCTAATGCTAATTAAAAATTACTTGACATTACTTTTATTGAGCATATAGTCCAAAATTTTTGTTTATACATACTGCCGTCCTTGATTTATAATCAACAGCGTGTAATTTTTGGCCATGTTTTCGAGAGAGCTAATATAAGCAATCTCAAAACAAATTTGATGCTCAACCAGTCATTCAAATCAATGAATCAAAGAAATCCTTCCTGGCCAGTCGAAACTGCTGTGGCTACAATTAGCATGCTCTGAGACCTTATCTACAACATTTGGTGATTGAATTTGGAAATTATTTGTATTGATATTGAAGGCTTATTTACGAAACTTGAAGCAATTTAGAACATTATATTAAACTGTTTATTTTTGTACCTTAATATGGAAAAAATAAGTAAGTGTCGTTCGATTGTATGGACAACATTAATTAATAATATAGATCTACTATGCTTTTTTAATTTTTCAATAAAGGTTTACTATTAGCACAATGTCTTAAAGGGATGGCTAATATAGTCATTAATTGGATAAAGGAAAATTGTAATAACATCTTTATTCATTGCATTTTCTCACGATTTCGCGATGAAATATATCGAAAGATAAAAATTTATCATGAATTTACAGGCAGATTATATTTTGTAATAAAATGTTATAATAATCAGATGTTGAAAATAATTTTATAGCCAATTAAACGCCAAAAATAAATACTTTCTAAGACGAGTACAAGTGTGGTCGTTTTTACGACGCCAATGGCATGTTTTGTCATTTAAAGCATAACCGCATTTCACTTATCCATTCCCCAATATTTAAGCTTGAATCATAGTCTCTTAATTATATAACTCGGTAAGACCAAAAGAATGCAATTGTTTATATTTAATTCTCAAAAACTAGAAGTTTGCTTTTAAAAAATCGGGAAACAAAGTGATCCCTCGGAAGCATTGATCACAACAAAATTACAAGAGAATTGCAGACTCGGTTTGATTGAGTCTGTACATGAGGGATAATGAATACGTGCAACATCCCTCACGCCCCCTAGCACCGGCTTGAGCGGTACTCAATTCTCATCACTCAATAGTGCTGGTATCAATGATCCCGAAGGACAAGAAAAATATAACAACACTGAAGTGAAGTATGATGCTTTAAGTCATTAAGCCATTTGTAATGTAACGGTTACTTACATGTATATAGTATTCTAAGAAGAAATACAACTTTAGTATAGTCTTGCTTCAAATTATATAATATAATATTCAACACTGCTTTCTCCATTATAGCCCTATAGCCTATTGATCAATAGGCTATATAAACCACTGACTATCACTCCTGAGGTCCCGGGTTCGATCCTGGGTTACACCCTTGGGATTTTTCAGAGACACTTTCAGTGTTTCCCACCTACATAGAGGTGTACTGGTAAGAAATCCAGGTAATCCTCGCATGTATCAGTGCTATACACTGGGCATGTAAAAGAACCAAGGGGTCTATTCAATAAGAGCTAGGGAGTGGTTCCCGGATTCCCTTGTATCTTAAAGCTGTTTCTTAAATGTATACAATGTATACCTGCTTAGAGTGATCGAAAACGATTTTAAAGCAGTATGATGTAGAAAAAATAGAAAAAATCACTGACAACATTTGCAAGCAAGCAACTTGTGTTAGACTAAAAGTCATATGCATTAAACGACACGTCAGGTATCAAGCTGTAGACAGTCGCCGGGTTATATATAAGGTAAATAACACAGTTGGGTGTCTAAAATCTTAGGGAACTTTTCAATTACTTTTCATTGCGTCAAAGGAAATTAATCCGAAAGGTAAATGGTTGAATAAACCCATAAAAGAAGAAAATATGTAAGTACCAGGTGCTTTTATTCAGTGTTGCAGTATCAGATTAATAGTGGGAGTCTCATAATGTAAAGTTACTTTCATTTTATGTTTTCATTAAGAATTTTATGTTTATTCAATTGAATTTGATATGATATTCATAATGAAATTATTCAAGGAATGACTTAAACTATCAGATAAGCCATTCGAGTTTGGGTTGTATTGTATATTAAATTTGCGAAACAAAATTAGTTTTTATGTATACTGTTTCTTTGTTAGATTCCTTTTTAAGGAATTGTTGATTTAACATAACTTAATGTCATGTTTTTTTATTATAAATGTCACTTGCTTTGACACATGCTGTGAAATTAAATAAAAACGCGAAAAGGTTAGTTCTATGACGTTGTTGGCTTACAAAATCAAGTTGAGCTTCGTCGCAAAAAAGTGCCATTTCACATACGTAGAGCAGGTGTCACTTTTATGATGTGAATGGGTGGATCGGGGGTGGAGTGAGCATCTCGTTATCGGTAAACTTATACGGTTAAACAATAAATGTTAAGGTCGTACGAAGCCGTCCTTAGATGGATCACAACTCTCCGCATATGTCCTTTCAAACGAGTTGATATCTTGTCAGCATATATTTCTTGTAAATTTGCGTCACATTATACTTATATTCCCTGTCCATAACACATATGTTATCTTTGGTAAAGACTGTCAAGGCAATTTGTGCAGTATGACATCTAAGCTAAATACAAAACATTCCATCCCCCACCCAACCCCAAAAAAGGAATATATCTTAAAATGCTTTTAAGTGCTTGTTATTGATGCAGAATTATGGTGTATCTATCATTCAAATTTAAGTTTCGATCAGTTACTGGTAAGTTCTAAAAGAATAAAGGAATGTCTTGTGAAAAGGGGAGAAGTTTGCTTAAGCATAGACCAACTGTAGACCTTGAGGAAGTGTGTGCGCTATTCATGGGCAATATTAACGCTAAAGAGTGTAGGATGCTTTAAAGAATGAATATGATGGTTTATCTTCATTTGCTCCACTCGCCTGTCACATCTTTAATCATGTTACATTTTTGTTTCCATTTTTTCCAACTCTTTTAAGAAAAGTTATCTGAACGCCGATATCAAGCTTGCAATGCAATGATCAGGTAGTGTGTTAGTTTTCCAATTGTAGGATTGTTCCTATTAATGTCCTTCTGGGCTTCTTACCGATGGGTTGTGTTGGGGATGCGTTCACTGAAGGTCGCCCCTTCTTGTTGATCTTATTTTTCATATTTCGTGTTTCATCTTGCGTAGAAATTTCCAAGTAGTTACTTATAACTTATGATGCCTTATAACTTATGATGCAGGTATCTATTTGAATACTTACAAAAATTAATTACATACATTATATATTCATTATTTTTCAAGCCTATTTAAACATGCTCTGCTTATATTAGTTTTATATAGGAAAGTTAAAAATGTAAACAATGTGTAATGACTAAATATTTGTGAAATTAAGTATTTCGGTTGATATGTCTATTAACAATCCCTACTTAATGTACAATGCACTGAATCTGTTTACGGAGGAACGTGGAAACATGATGATTTCGTAATGTTCTGAATAAATAACCAACAACAGGCAGCCCTTACTTTTTATGTTATATTAAAAATAAATGTCAAACTCTTTGTCCTTTTAATATTTTTTACAATAACTACGAGATGATTAATGATATTGTGTCATTATTTAGAACATGCTACATGCTGAATAACATCAAAAGGGTACTTTAATGTTGTTATTGTTTGACAAATATCAAAAATTGGAAAAAGAAAATGTCATTTTCGTGTTTTTCTCTGACATTTATGAAAGGAAATAATAATTATTGAGAACATGAATTTTACGCAAACATTTGCAGATGTACATAGGTTCTGAGACTCCTATAGTGATTTTTCGTAAACTATGACGGCAGATTGAAACCAATATATTAACCAAATGCCATAAGTGATATCCATTGCCGAATGATCTTTTTCCTTTCCGTCGCCTACATCACATGTACCACTCACAACGCTCTTTATTTTATAATGGATTATTTTATAATTCTAATTCTAATGGTTTTGATAAAGTGGCATAAAACGATTGAAAACAAAAGCATCGCTCTAGAATATATTGTTAGTTTTACGCGAGGAATTCTTCCGCTTCTTTACTCTTGATGTCGACACGGACACGTGATAGTCATTATTAATAGAACCTAATAACATTTTAAACGCCCATTCTCAATAAAATAAAGCATTTGAGGTTGAAAAATATTAAAAATTTGATGTTGTCATTGTGTCATTTTTTATCGCTTAAGTAAATGTTTAGGATATTTTGCAAGTTTGCCAGAAATATTTTGAACAAGAAACTATGATATAACAGGATGGCATTTATTTCGGTAATGACACTGTATTTCTTCGGTAACGTAGATTTCAGATCTAATAATGTAACATATTGGCTGCATATTAATAACAAATGTCTGTAAAATATATCAAAATCTGTAAATTCTCTATCTAGAGGGACTTTCTAACCCAGGAAAATTCAAAGAAGTTGGGTACCTTGCTAATTTTCAGTCAATTTCTTCAAAGTTAAATATTCGTAGAAAG